TGAGGTACGTTTTTTGGGGAGTGGTTAATGAAAGTGTTCCAAAACGCGACATTAATTTCTTGACGACCTAATATATATATATATATTTACAACGCTAACATTTCTTCCAGATCTATGCAAGCTCACTACTGGTCTGTAGATGAATTTAATGAATATTTCATGATTAAATAACACTACCTGGTTCTACAGTTAACTCATGAAGACAACACATTTTTCAAAAATGATTGATCTTACTTGACCCGTAGCTGCCACGTGACGAGCAAAGCAGACGTGAGTAGCTTCATCACCCGAGAGTTGCGAGAGACTTGAAGAAATAAAAACAAGAGTCAGACATTACTTTAACTCACAGTATACTAAACAAATTATGGTCATTCTGCCAGGGCTTCTTTTTTACTAGGATTGAAAAAAGAAAACATTGTCCTTTAATTATTCATTTATAATCAAACAAAAGTCGAACATTCCTGTTCGAGGCGAAACAGCAGTGAAGAATGATACTGTTGACCTTTAACCTTAACGTTTGAGTTATCAATTCGTGGTTTCTAAAATGCGATGATAACATTCAACGTTATTACAACACATACAAATAATGAAATAAACCAGCTGAAAATACAAATATATCATTCATTAATAACATATGTTTTATTTGCAAGTAAGAAGTTGGACACAGAGAGAAATATTCAATTATTTACCTGTTTAACTTCGTGATTTGTATTCGCTGATTATTTAATTTAATTTTGAAATTGAAGGTGTCATTCATTAATTGAGTTTAATTAATTGAAATTGAGGGCTTTTACTAGGCTCTAGCATATGGTTTAATTACAGTTTTTAGTCCAGATATAATGTAGTTGCTTATTAAAGTTTCTCTGTCCTATTAAAACATATATATATTTTTATACCTATCGTAAAATAAAACCAATTTTGTACTTCATTAAAATGCAGAATAAACAAATGTACAGTACATATTAAGTATAAGATTTATATATTTTGGTGAACAGAAAAGTTTTGGCCCAGTATATTCTTGGATTTGCAAAACTAGATCGATTTCATAGAATTATACCTATGGACTGTAACCAGAACCAAAGCAAAGAAAATAATAAGACCGGAACCTGTAATGGAGAACATATTAGTTAAACGACACTTCGTTTGTTGTTATTGGTATAGATTTACATTAAGGAGGTCGCCTTTTCTAGTAATGTAAAAACTGATAAACTTCTACATATTTTAGTTTCAACAAAAGCGTGTAAGAGTATCTAAATCTAATATATATATATATGTATATAAAAGAGGGAGTTTATTTATTTTGTTCGCTATAGGAAACCAAACGGTTGAATTTATTAATTTTAAAATAACTTCATAATAACCAGTTTTTTTACAAGAAATTTAATGGTGCTAGTTATTTTGTATTTGGTGTAGCATTTAATAGCGAAATTGTCAATTAATGATTATTGCGCCATTTTTTTGTAATAAATGTTTTGCAATAAACATACAAACATAAGCACGTTTTACAAATAGAAAGCGTTATGGCGGGAGACGCTCAGATCACCTTGCTGTCAATTCAGTATTTCCAAAAACAGTTTTCTTTAAATAGTGCTAGGTGGTTTCATAAGTGATTTAGTAACTTTGTGAATTGCAAATTATTGTTTAGTGATACAGTGATTATGCCACCCAAGAAATTCCCTTTCTATGGAAAGTCTTCTGCCGCTAAAAGAATGCAAGCACAAAGAGCAGCTGAAACAGAAGAAGAACGTAATCAATGACTTCAAGCACGAGCTGCAAGACAGGCTGCTCAAATACAGGAAGAGACTTTGGAACAACGTAAAGTTAGACTTCGAGCTCAAGCTGAAAGGCAGGCTACTCAAAGACAGCAAGAAACTGTTGAACAGCACAAAGCCAGAGTTCAGTCAGAATCATCAAGGCAAGCTGGATACAGACAACAAGAAACTTCTGAACAACGTCAAACCAGACTCAAGCACAAAAATTAAGACAATTAACTTACAGAGAGGAAGAAACAGAGAAGCAACATGATGTACGACTTCAGGCTCAAAGAACAAAACAAGTTCAAACACGATCTAATTTCAAATAAAGCTTTGTTTGATTAA